TTTAATTTGACTTTGTGTTCATTTATAAAATAAAATATAAAAAGTTAATTACTTTTCAACTTTTATATATAATAAATTAATATAAATATAACATATTGAATTTATAAATATATATTTTTATAATTTTAAATATAATTATATAATTTTTATATATTAAAACCAATCAATATTACAACATAATCAATTTCTAATTTTAATTCAGGATCGGAAGGAGTCAAATTTGAACTCGATTTGATTATTAATTTGATGTACATTGAAAAATCTAAGTTATAGATGTGCTCAATATTTTTCTATAATTTTTTTATATTTCTATGTGCATAAAAATAATTATGACATGTTGCACTTTTTTTGTTTAATATGATAAATATACAATATTACATATGTACCCAATTGTTTTGCAAAACTTATGTATTTTTATTTTTATCTTTTATTAATTTTTATTATTTAAATATGACATTAAAGGTCAACATATTTGACCCAAAAGTATAACTACTAGTCTCCACCAAACAGGAAAATAATTTCATTTTTTGTTAGTTTTAGATTATGTATTTCATTTTCATAGTCAATAAAAATAACTTTTGTTTATTGCCATTATTTTTTTAATTTGATCAACAAAAATATCATAAATATGTCTATTTTTTTCTATATTTCTTATTTTTTATATTTATTTATATTTTAAAAGTTTTATGGTCTAACTATGACTTTATGGGTTAACCATTGGATTCAGACGCTGAACAGTTGAATTCTTTAGTCACCACTAGGGGTGGATTTGAGCTAAGCCGAGCTGAATACTTGGCTATTCGAGCTCAACTCGCAGGAATAGTATCAGGCTCGAGCTCAATTTGAGTTAGAGACTTGAGCTCAAGTTTGGCTCGGTTCATAGCTCACAAGTTTGAGCTCAACTTGTCTTGAGCTCAATTATAAGCCAAGTTTTTTTGAAAAATAAAAATTATATGTATAAAATTATTTTTTATTTTTTAGACAAAAAAATTAAGAATTATAAAAATTATTTACTATTATAACCAAAAAATAAACAAATATATATAATATAAATGATTATAAAATATATAATATTATAATGTTATATATTATACATACAAAAAAATAATTATAAAAATTATTTACTATTATACATACATACAAAGTATATAATAAAAATGGTTTATTTAATACTAGGCTTGTGAGCCTCACAAGTCGAGCTTCATTGGGCTCGAGCTCGGTTCGATTAGCAAATGAGCTTATATATTGGGCTCGAATTCAGCTCAAATCTCGGTTTAAACCGAGCCGAGCTCAAATAGCTCGTGAAAGGCTCGATTCGTGGCCACCCCTAGTAACCACTTAGATGAAAGATATTGTTAAAATGCATTGGTTTATATTGTTAAAAAATATTAAAATATATACCTAATTAATAGCATTTATTAGTGAAAAAATAACTTTAATATAGGATTTAATAAGGGAGAATAGGAGTTAATACCTTAATATAAAACTTAATGAGAGAGGACTAAATGAAGTGAAAAGTAATAGTTTAAATTATGTTTTCAACCCTCACAATTAGTGATGGACTAAATTCACAAATATGGGTATTTTAGTCTTGAAAAGTTCTATATCCTCATTCATCCCCTTAGATAACTCAAGTTAGAAGGAGCAAGGAGTGGGTTTTAAGAGATGAGGGATAAGGACACAACATTTCAAACACCTTGAGAMTGGCATAGTGGTTTACATGACAAGTTACTATTTTGTGTACATATTGGCCCAGTGTGTGAGGGGGATTTAAGAACTACAAAGTGCGCAAAAAGCAATTTGAGAAGGTTAAGTTGAATATAGGTCCCCTTCACTTTTCCGTACATTAATTACCTAGGTAAATGCACTTACCCAGTAAGCGTTTCCTAGTTGCATTTATCCATGTTCTTTTATTTTCCAAGTAAATAAGACAATGACTATTTTAGCCATAAAAATTCATTATTAAAAGGAGTTGTATCAACTTTCCCCGGTGCTCTCAAAATCCAAAATATGTATGCACTAGTAGTGAAAAGTAGCGAGTCAACTTTTGTTCCCTTAGAAAGCAAGGAGTGTTGTGACCACTAGAGGGTACACACATCCTATGGACCGAACACTTCAGTCGATAGGATGCTAGTTCATTGACTCCCTCTGTTGTTGGTTGCTTCATTCCTTATTGTAAACTTGTGTTCTGATCCCATTGGATGTCCTATTCGACTCCGGATCTCCTACCCACAAGAACCTTACCAACGTCTACCCACAATACACTACCCCCGTGCATAATACTATGTAGGAGGATGAGATGTTCTCCATGTGTGGCTGTGATGTTATGTAGGTAGACGTGGGCAGAGTTCTTGTGGGCAAGAGATCTAGACTCCTAGGTGTTTAAGAGAGAGGTAGAGGGAGGGAGAGAGAGAGAGAGAGAGAGAGTTGTGGGTTAAGTTCAGGGATGGAGCTAGGGGACTCAGAGGTGCCATTACCCCCCTATGGTCCAAAAATTCTCACTTTTGTATAGTATTCTGTGTAAATTTCCCCCCTCTCCCCACTCCCCACCCCAATAGTTGTCTGGGTCCGGATGTAGTAGGCATGTTAAGTAAGCACAATGAGTGAACACCTAATAGCTGTGTGGCACCTATCCTAGTTAATAAGCCTTTCATCCAAACTTTTTTGCTCCGTTAGACGGTAATTATCTATTATTTTATTATCTTTGCCAAAATAACTAAAAATAAAAAACAATGAAAAAGGAAAACCTAAACATGTCGGGAGTTGGAACTCATTGGACTCTCTCCAACCTTCTTCCGTTTAGGTTTCTCTCTCCAATTCCGACCTTCAACAACTACAACGAGTGAGGACCAACCTCCATATTCCTTTTGACTATTCTGTTAGACATGACAAAAATATTTTACCTACTTATTAAACACACAAAAATGGAAAGAAAACGTCAATTTAACAAAAAGAAAGTAAATTATAATAATAAGAAATAGTATATAACATAGGCTACTATGGGAATGTTTTTTTCTTGAACATTTTGTTTGAAAATTATAAATTTTAAGTACAGAGTTTAATAAGTTTGATTTAAAATAAAAATTGGTTTTATCTTAATGTTAGATACGTTGAGGTAGAGGTGCAAAACGGGCGGCCCGCACAAAGTGCCAATCTTGGGCCATGCCGCCCTCCCCTGGGATAACTTGGGGGGTCGGCTCGGCACGGCCCACGGCCCAAGCCCGTGCGGGCCCATGCTGTGCCACGGACTAGCCCAGCCCATGGGCCAAGCCTTGGCCCAGGCCGAGCCGTGGACCAAACAAAAGCTATTTTTGCCTATTTATTTAAAAAATTGAAAAAAAACATAAAATTTTAATTTTATATGAATTTTGATGTATACAATTGCTTATATATACAATAATTAAATAAATTAGTAAAATAAAATTGAAAATAATTGTTTAATTTATTAATATATTATGTACTATATACTATTATATAATTATAATTTATATTATATATTATATTATATATATATAATTCTTGTGCCGCGGGCTGGGCCGTGCTGACACGTGGGTCGCGGAAGGCACGACCAGCTCGGTCGTGCCGTGTTGGCCCGGCCCATGGACCTAAAACCCCACGCCCAACACTACACGGACCATCGTGTCGGGCCTGGCATGGCCCGCGTGCCATCATGTCGTACCGTGTCGAGCCAGTCCAAAGTCGGGTCGGGCTGTGGCGACACGACCCAATTTACACCTCTACGTTGAGGAAGAATGAAAAATTAGAGAATTCAATCTAGGCATAAGAAATATTCTATAAAATTGTAACATGTAATGCTTTATTATATATTAATTCTCTAAAATTAGAGCATTCACCAAAAATAAAAAATTTTAAGTAAATTACTAGATTTTGCAGAAATTGTTTATTTTAGGATACTTTATAATTAGCATAGATGAATTTTAATGCCTATGGTATTTGTCTTGTGGTTTTTGTTTATTGAGAAAGACATAAACTATTATAGTTTGACAAAGAAAAGACATGACAAAAAAGACATGATTACTTTTGAATCAATTTTCTAGGAACACGCATAAACTATTCAGACAAATTGATAGTCAATACACGTGTTTTACAATAATTGGTATAGTTCTCTTGCCCTTTTGCATGCTAAAAAGTAATGCCCATAGCAGAAGTTCAGAACCCTCTTTATAATTGCAAACACAACGCATGAGGAAGAAGATGGCTAGGAAAAGCTATGGTATGAGAGAACTCCGTTGTAGTTGGTCTGAATTGGAGAGAGAAACCTAAACAGAAGAAGGTTGGAGAGAGTCCATTGAATTTCAACACGTTTAAGTTTTAATTTCCTTTTTCATTGTTTTTTATTTTTAATTATTTTGCCAAAATAATAAAACAATAAATAATTCCTGTATAACAGAGCATAAATGCTTACTAAACGTAATTACTACATCCGGACCCTAGTTTTCCACCCTTATATGCCCATCCATATTTATCCCCCCCACTTCCAAATCCCTTTTGGCAAAAAGATTAGTGTTTCCGCCCCTGGTTGGGTTGCTGTAACTGTGGTTTGACAACAATATAAAACTCTTCTCAATGGACGGAGCAGCAACATACAACTATACAAGGGCCGGGGACGTACATTAAATCTAGCTTTTACTGCCTTATCTTAAACTCTCGGACATTGGCCGGTGGGAAAAGGGAAAACGACCACCGTCGCCCGCCTTGCTGGCCGCAGTTTGTTGCCATGTACACACACAGTTTTTCCATTACTTTTATTTACTTTAATTTACCATTTCTTTTTTTATGCACATTAATGGTTATACACTTGTCCAGTGGAAGTATACTACTTTATAACAAACGTAACCTTTTTTTTTATTTATTTTAACGCACATATATAGGTAATATAGTGATAATTCCGATAACATATAGGCCAGAGCTCCTTATAAAAAGCCCACCCCCTTCCCTTGTCTCTCATCACACCCAAAATAATCCAAGCTTAGCACAAGATGTCCCTCCTCATCACCCATTTGCTTCTCTTGCTCCTTGGAGTGGCTGCTTATGGCCCTCCCGAGAAGATGAATCCGAACCCGCCTATGCCCATTGACAAACCTCCTCCGTTTGAGAGGCCTCCTCCTGAGTACAAGCCACCAAACCCACCTGAGAGCAGACCTCCCCAGTTTGACAAACCAGTTCATCACGACGGTCCTGATCATCATCCAGGCCACCCTCATGAGGCTGAGGGTGCCACTGATTCACACAAGCCACACACCCCTGTTCACAAGCCTCCTCACCATTACCCTGGTCATCCTCCCGTTAACGTTGTTAATGAGGTAAAAGTTCCATACATGCCTCCCGATCCCGAGCACAAGCCGCCTAAAGGAGAGATGCCACCTGCCTATGGCTATGGTCACCCTCCTCCAGTTGGAGTAGAGCATGTCCAAGTTTCAACGAAGAAGCAACAAGGGCACATATCACCTAATAAAGGAGAAAAGCCACCTCCTCATCATGGTCACCCTCCAGTTGAGGACGTCGTTGAAGCTTCACAGAAGCCACAACCACGAAAGATGATGATGCCGTCTGCTAGCACCCCATTTAAGAAACCATCACCACCTGGAAAGAAGCCACCTCCCGGCCATCCTCATTAACAGATATGCACGTAGGCAGGTAGAAGATAGACTATAGATATAAATAAAGGGGCTGGTGTGACCATGTGAGCGTTCTTTTTTTTCTTTCTATATGTTGTGCAGTATTGTGCTATATGTTAAGGTAAGTGTTTGCTATAGATAACTTCTTCCTACTCATGTAATCCATGCATGGCAACCCAGTTGTATTGATCTCCTTATATAATATATAGTTACAGTTTGCTATGTATATGAAACTGTTATAACTGATACCGGCCACATCCAACAAACGCGTTCATGGGCCATGACTTACTGCTTCCTTCCCTGTATGGCTGGAGGAATGTTGTATCCTGAGCGCAACACACAGGGGATTTATTGTCTCCGTTTAATGGCCCAACCGAACTCAATAAAAGAAATATCCTCAGGCCCACAAATTTATCGAAGATGACTTTTAAGATCCAAAATAATAGTGCTTAACTGCACTTCAGCACTGGCATAAATGATAAATCCTTTTCTGTTGTTTTCCAAGCCCAATGCAGATGCCAACTTATTGCTGCCTTACATTCCAGCTATCTGGATGGGCCGAACCCAACCTAAACCTGAGGTCCAAAACTGCAGGCGCATTGTGCTACTGGCACGGCAGAGGAGCTCGGATGGGCTACCCACGGGAGATATTTGCATGAAAATGCAAATCGGTTGAGAGTAGTAAATTCTAGTTTAGCTTCAGATTTAACTGTCTTATTTTTGTGAAAAAGAAAATGATGCGGTTTCCGTCTTGAAAAACAGAGGTAGAAGGGTATCTGTGTGTGAATTAGGAAGCAAGATGATGCAATCCCCATTTTTATATGAGAGAGAATTAAGGTAAGAGGAAATAGTGTAAATTCTACTTCAGATTTTGAGATACAAAATTTGCACTGTCAATGAATTTAAATGAGACAAGTACAAATTTTGTGTCAAATAAGAATGCAAACAAAAGAGATGCAAAGTTGAATCAGATACAGATTTGTGATACAAACAAACAAATAGAAATTAAAAATGGGCCTTTTTTGCAAGGTATCAACTGGTTGATTGATAAGATCTCTGACTGATTGTAATAGACTGGTGGGTGGGTATGTTTGAAGCGGACTCGACTTGAATTTCAAGCGGCACAGCGCAGTGGGCTGGTCCTGGTGGAATCGCGTAAAGTCGAACTCAATATTTTAAAGGTTGGACCAAATCGGCTAATTTTAACTAATTCCACCACTAGTCTGATTTGACCTTGGATCAGGGAATCAGATAATTAGCCTAACAGAGCAAAGCTAGTGATACAAACATTCTTTTTTTTTTTTCTGGTATCGGGTACAAATGCTGAAATGCATCCTATACCACGCATATGTGTTAGCAATACGCCATTATTGATAGATCGATGTAAGAATAAACTAAGAGCCACTTGGAGTGACAAAATTAGGTGTGTTAGTCGGACTGTGTCGGGTCGAAGGTCAACCCAGACCCAGACACAATTTTATAGGTGCAAATCTTGGGCTTGGGCCTAGCTTAACCCGAGTCAGGCCTAATTTTATCAATTTAGACCCAATTCGAGCTTAATCCAATACAATTGGGATTGATCTTTGGCTCCGGTTGGGCCAGGTCTGGTCGGGTTTGGACATATTAACTGTATTTGAAAGAATTTATGAATATAATTGTATGCAGTTATATTTTATTGGATTTTATGGCCCAATTTAAGAATATAATTGATTAGAAAGATCTAATATGTACGGAGTTCATTTATATGTCAAGAAATATGTCTTTTATACAAACATACATGTATATTTTTTATACATACACATATACATCTACATATAATTAAGAAAAAAAAAAAGATATCTTTTTATAAATATAATGTATGCATGTATGTATATATGTATTTATTCAGGTGGGCTCAGGTTGGGTCAAATTCGAGTTGGCTTGAATCAGCCTTGGGCTACCCAAGGCCTCAATCCAACCTAACCGAACCCAAGTTTATGWTAGGCCCAAAGTTTTCTAGCCCAAGTACAGCCTACAGCTCAAAAACTCAGTTCCAATCCATGCAATATCTAAGGTTGGACAGAGTTGGACTTGTGTTGGGCCCACCAAAGTTGCAGGCTTAGACAAAATGTTCTACATGTATGATGCGTTGGAGAGTAGGGGTGTACACAGATTGAATCGAGCAATATCGAAATTCGATTCGACCAACAAATATTGAAAATTAATATTTGAATTCAAATTTGATTAAATATTCGAATATTCTATTTGATTTGAATTAAACCAATTAATTATTTTAGGTAATTAATAAATGTATAAAATAAATATTTTAGTTATATAAATTATTTATATAATTTAATTATTCTATATCTAAATTATATAAAACATTTAAATATTTTATATTATATATAAAAATTAGATAATCGATCAAATTTGAATATTTATCGAATCGAATCAGGTCATATATTTAAAATCAAATCCGATTAACTAATCAATATAAACAAGGAATCCGAATTCAGCCGATTATGCATATTCAAATTATCTGAATTCGATTTGATTATGTTAATCTCGAATTCCAAATCAAATTTTTGAATCTATGGATAATTTATATATACAATATGGTATAACTACAATCGAAACTAGTATAACACTTAACACTTTATATTACTTACTCGGGTGTAGCAAGCTAAAGTTACAGACTACAGGTTATAGGCTAAAAGCCTATTCGAACTATATTTGGACATACTCATTAGCCAAGTTTATCATCTTAAGGCCCCCAAATATTTTCAGCATTAAAGATTGTATTTTTTGGTAGAATTTAATTAAGGATTGTTACAATGTAAAACCTTTAATTTAATTTATTTATTTTGTTAAATTTATTAGTTCATCAAGTTTAGCATATCCAACTGGGTGATAATTTTTGAATGGAAGGAAAAGGTACAGGGTCAAATGTTTAAAGAACTTGAGGAACATACCTTATGGATAACCTATGTTAGTGATTTGACCACTTGTATTATAGATATGATAGATGACTTCTTTGATGTGGTTAGCCAAATTAGCAATACTGAAGAAAAAAAGGAAACAATATTGTAAAGAAAACAAGAACACCAATAATAAAACTTATTAATGCATATATTGGGAATAAAAGAGATGAAGTTGGAGGATATATACTTGGGTGGGCCTCTTCTCAATACCTCAAAGAAGCACTCAAACTGGAGATTTATTGTAGATAAAGCGAGGTCAAAACTTAAGAATGGAAATCAAGAATCCTCTCTCATGCAGGTAGATCTGTTCTCGTTAAATCTACTCTAACTTCCCTTCCCCTTTACCATATGGCAACCTATGCTCTTCCATCCTCCATTTGCAGGGAGCTAAAATCAATTTGCCGTGATTTTTGGTGCGGAAAGGCATTAAAAGAAAGACCCATCTACCTAAAAGCATGGAAGTCGTTTTTACTCCCTTTGGAGAAAGGGAGTCTTGGCTTTAGAGACCCAAGTTTGATGAATAGAGCTCTCTTACTTGAGCTGCCTTGGCATTTTCTCATAGAAATTGATTTTTATGGGTTCAAATACATAAAGAAAAGTATCTTACCTCATCAAATTTCTGGAAGCAAAATCATAAAAGTTCACACTCATTGTTGTGGTCCAACCTATTAGCTTGCTGGGAAGATCTCATTAAGGGTTGTAGATGGTTAATCTCAAACCATTGGGATGTAGATATTTTCAAAGATCCATGGATTCCTAATGGACTGATTGAAAAGCCAAATAACTGGGATCTTGCTTGCAGCAAGGTGGCCATGCTCATGAATCAGAACTCATGGACGTGGAACACCCAACTCTTACATATGCTCTTTGATGAAGACACTAACCAGATTACAAAGATTGTTATCCCTCAGGCGAATCCTTTAACTAATGACAAGCTGATTTGGTCATTTACTCCTCATGGAAGGTTCTCTTGCAACTCTGGATATAAACTGTTGTGTCAAGATGTTTCAGAATCTTCTCATGCTTCCCGGGTTTGCGAAAATCTTAGCTAGAAAGAATTGTGGAAAATGAAAACTTTAATTCCCCGTGTCAAGATGTTCTTATGGAGATGTAAGGGAGCTATTTCAGTTAATGCAGAGTTGGCTAAAAGATCAACTAAGATTGAAGCAACTTGCTACTTGTGCAGAGTTTCGGACGAGACTATAGATCTCCTCTTATTTCAATGTCCAACTATTCAGCCCATATGGTTTTCCTCCTTGGGTATCCGGACTGAGAATACTCAAAACAATAATTTACGTTATTGGTTATAGCATTGGAGACATATTGACAAAATAAGGAATCAACATTCTTGCTTTCCAATGTTTACTCGAGAGGTCATTGTAATGTGGTTCATTTGGAAGCATAAAAACAAAGCTATATTTGAGCAACACCCTTTTAATCCATTATAGACGCTTACAGTGATTGAAGCTCATTGTGCCTTACTTTCCAAATCTACTATTTCAGATTCAAACACTAACAGTGTTCACTCTCAAATTAGCACGGATCCTCAGCTGATTCAGAGGTGGATCAAGCCTCCTACTAGAGTCATTAAAATTAATACAGATAGGCATGGAGTGCTTCTCGCTTGGCTTTTAGAATTGTTATTAGAGATCACAATGGCTATTTCATACTAGGTAGATCTGCTCCCCTCCATTGTTCTTCCCCGGTAGAAGCTAAAGCCTTAGCAATTTTGGAAGGTCTGAGGTGTGCCATTGCAATGGACATTGTGGCTCTCATCATTGAAAGTGATGCAAAACACATCATCGACATTCTCTCTTCGGGTGCAGACCCTCCCTGGAGATTACATTCTACTATTCTAAAATGTAGGCATCTTGCTTCTGGCTTTGTGTCAACCAGTTTTATTCATACATCTCGATCTTGTAATCGCTTAACCCACGGGCTAGCAAATCATGCTGTCAGATACAATCATGCTATGACCTGGTCGACTCCTCTAGATTTCATCAGGTATATATTTCTGGATGAGATGTAACCTTTTGTTTT